GATAGATAGATAGATAGATAGATAGATAGATAGATAGATAGATAGATTGGAAAGACCAGGGAAGGAAGCCTATAACTATATAAATATAGTTAAGGCAGAATTACAAATTTCTCCAATTTGTACAACAAAAAGGAGAAGCAAAGATCAGGGGAAGTTAAGACAGCCTTGAGAATCACATCTTGTTGAGTATTTGCACTGGACACTTCCCCATCTCTCTCTTCTCCCCCCCACCCCCCAGCATAAACCCACAAAGGACCAGTGAATAATGCACCCCCCAAACTCAAGATTTCCACAAGGTGGTCCAGACCCTGAAACTATTTTGACAAGGCACTGAACTTGCAGAAGGACCCAAGAGTGGCCTTCACCCAACGTTTTGAGCCATGCGGAGTTCACCCCAAAAGAGGGTTGTTGCTGTTTTTTTCCTTTTTTTTAACAAACTTTCCTAGCTGGGTTCCAAGCAAAACTTTGTGCCATCAAACAAGCCAGCTTAATAGATTGGGGGGTGGGGGGTGTCGGGGTCAACCTTATGGTCGACTGGGTTGAAGTACCACGCCAAGTAAAGGACTTAACTGGTGGTTTGGGAGTGTACCCCAATCGGATGGGGTCACCCCAAGACCATCACCCCAAATCAAATTAAACTACATTAGGGCTTCTACAGTGCCTTGCAGGCCCTGCTTCTGGATATAGCCAGGTAGGCATAACAAAGAGACTCCCCCAAAACTCACCCCCCTCCCCAAGGAACAAGAATTCAGTGACAATTCTCAAACAGAGGGAGGGGGAGGAAGGAGAAGAAAAGAGAGAGAGAGAGAGAAATTACCGGCAGTTTTCCCGTGGAGGCCGATCTCATGGTTTTGATCTCAGGTCCATGCGGGGTGGCATAAAGGCAACCGCCTCGAGGTAACGGAGCGACCACCGCCGCCTGGGGGTACACCTGAGCGAAATAGGCTGCGGGGAGAGCCCGCACCGCAGGGCCGGCTGCCAGCTCGGCCACCACCAACTCGGCCGAGCCGCCGACAGCCATGCTTTTCTTTTGTGACTGGGGGGGGACGAGGGAAGGCGCCCCTCGGGCCGGGGCGGAAGGAGGCCCAGCTTTGGGGATTCTCAGCATGGCCTTCCTCCGAGAGAGGCCAGGCGGCACCGGGAAGGGCTCGGGACTTCCAGCCAACGCGTGTCGGGACCGACCTGGCAAGGTACAATAGGGGGAAAGTCCTCCTTAGCCATTTAAAACTGCCATCGGTGGTGGTGGTAGTGGGGGGGAATTAGCCAGGATCGGCCCTTAGGGTACTTTGCAAAGCGGGGAGCGGAAAGAAAGGAGGGGGGAAGGGAGGAGAGGGGAAAAAAAAGTCCAAAGGAAAACCGAAGCGAGGTTGCAGCGTTCACACGGTCCGGGTCTCTTCATCCACGCGGGTCTCTCTTTTTTTCTTGGAAGAGTCAGCCATGGGGATGGGTGGGTGGGGGGTCACTGGTTCTTTCCTCGGCCCTCCCCACGCCTCTTCTCGAACCAGGCCTGTTGGCTTGCGGGTCCCCCCCAAATCCAAAGCCCCCCGAGATCCGCGCCGGCCTTTTTCAGAGGGGACTTTCCCGGGAGTTGGGCTGCAAAAATTGCAAGCTCGGCCAGCGGGCTCATGCCCGAGCGATGCCCCCGCCTCGCTTGCAAATAAAAAATAAAAAGCTTTTTGTGGCCGGGGGGGGGGGAGAAAACGCAGGGGCGGATTGGGGGGGGGGGGGGTGTAAAAACAAAAACAAAAAATCCTCCGGGAAGCGTTTGGGTTGCAAAATTGCCCGGGAGACCCGGGGGGTTGGAGGGGTGGGCGACGGGGAAAAAAGGTTTCCCTCCGATCTCCGCTCCTACGGTCTTATATCAGCTGGCGGGGCTGCGAGGCTTTTGGAAGCACCCCAAACCGGGCAGGGATCCGAGCAAGCAGCCCGGGCCCCGAACCCGAGCGGGTGGGGGGGGGAGGTTCCTGCTAGCCCCCTTTCATGGACTCCTTCCGACCCGTAAGGCTCCTTAGGACTCCCGGCTGGGCTGCTGCAGGTTTCCCGGCCGCTGCCAAAGCTGCCGGGGCCAAGGATGGATCTGGATTGGGACAAGAAAAGGACCCGATGGCTGCCCAGCCCTTTCTCTTTCCGTTCCTCCTTCACTCGCTCTCCTCTTTTTTTTTTTTTTTTTTAAGCGCCAAACTACGTGCCGCGAAATTCGGATCTCCCGCGGAAAAGGCCGCGCTCCCATTGGCCGGCGGCAACCCCGGCGCGTCCCCGCCCACCGGATTTGATACATTTTGTACCGCGAGGAGGAAGAGCGGAGGTGCGGCTCTTAAAGGGGAAGCGCGGCGTGGCCCCGGCGCCGCACGAGGCGTCAATGGGACTCCGCCTTCCTTGCCCCCCGCCCGTCAGGGGGGCGTGGGCGGAGCCAGGCCAATAACTGACCCTGAGATGGCCCTTCTCGCACGCCTTTCGGCTCGCTCACTTTTTTTAAAGCAACAAGCCGGAGAAGCCTCCGGGCGGTGATCAGGCCGGGACCGGAGATGGCGTTGGGTTGGCAGCGGGCGGCTCCGGCCTGCGGGAATCCACGTCCTGCCTCTGCCGCTTCTTGGAAGCGGGGCTAGCTGAACCTGCAGCCGCCTTGTGGTCTTGGAACAAAGGAGGGGCCGGAGTGGGAAATTCTGGACTGCATTCGCAGGGCTCGCTAAAAGGCCGAAATCTAACTTGCTGTAAACGAACAAACAAAAAGGCTGTAGTGCTAGAGCCCATTGTAACTACATAGCCAAAAAGGCATTAAGAGTTGTTAACCTAATCTTACATAGCTTTTTCTCTGGTAATATTACACTACTAACTAGAGCATGCAAAACATTTGCTAGACCAATACTTGAATACAGCTCATCAGTCTGGAACCCACATTACTATCTGATATTAACACAGTTGAGAAAGTCCAGAAATATTTCACAAGAAGAGTTCTCCACTCCTCTACTCGTTGCAGAATACCTAATGCCACCAGACTTGAAATTTTAGACCTAGAAAACCTAGAACTACGCCGCCTTCAGTCTGATCTAAGTATAGTATATAAAATCATACACTGCAATGACTTACCTGTCAATGAATACTTCAGCTTCAGTCATAACAATACAAGAGCACACAATAGATACAAACTCAAGGTTAACTACACCAAACTTGATTGCAGGAAATACGACTTTAGCAACAAAGTGGTCAATGTCTCGAATACTCCACCTGATTCTGGGGTTTCTTCTCCAAACCCCAAAAACTTTAACCTTAGACTGTCTACTATTGACCTCACCCCTTTCCTAAGAGGTCTGTAGGGGCGTGCATAAGCGCACCAACGTGCCTACCATCCCTGTCCTATTATTTCTTTTATTTTTTTCATTTTTCTTATATGTACCCATGTATTCATAGCTATGTTTTTACTTATACCTATTATCTTGTAAGCAATTGACAAAAACAAATAAATAAATAAAATAGAGATTCTCATCCAGGTCAAGGGTCTCCAACCTTGGCCACTTTAAGCCTGGCGGACTTCAACTCCCAGAATTCCCCAGCCAGCTCAGGGAGTTGAAGTCCGCCAGGCTTAAAGTGGCCAAGGTTGGAAGACCCTGATCCAGGTGATGGCTGTCCCAAAGATGCTTTTTTTTTTTTTTTTCCCCAGAGGGAACTGGACTTTCTGTTGTTTTTCTTGGAAGATGTTTCGCTTCTCATCCAAGAAGCTTCTTCAGCTCTGACTTGATCCAGTTGCCTCCTGAAAAAAGCACCAGAGTTGTTGGGAAAATAGGAGGAGGAAGTTATATTTGCCTCCTTGGTTTATTTTTTTAAATAAGAAAAGGCAGGATATAAATACATTTTATATCATGGGAGAAAAAGCAATTCTCTCCCTAGAGCAAGGAAGCAATTTTCCCTTTTAAACTTCATCCGGCAGACCCATATTTGGAAAAGTGCATTGGTGCCATTGAAAGCAAAACTAGGTGCCCGCTTTTAGAAGCAGATCTACATGGGACACACATAAAAAAATAGGCCTGGCTGCCATCTTGACTTTTATTAGCCAAGCTGCGGGTGTTTGTGTGTATGTGTGCAGGTGTTGCTTTGCAAAGCCCTTCAAAAGGATTGCTTTCCAACTTAACCACAAGCAGAAATCCTCCAGGAATTGGCCAATTTTGATAACTCTCCCTCTGGTCCCTAAAGATGGTGGAAGAGCAGGCTGGGAATTCTGAGTATTGTAGTCCACATATCTTCAAAGTTGCAAAGTTTGAGAAACAGTGATGTTGTAGATAACCTGGCAAACATCGCAGCCTAAAATGGCATTGCTGCCCTCTGCTGGTTATATATAGATTAGTATATAGAACAGTATTGTCCCAAAGGTGTTTTTTTTTTTTTTACCCAAATGGCAACTAGACTTTCTGGTTTTCTTTTGGAGACATTTGACTTCTCATCCAAGAAGCTTCTTCAGCTCTGACTGGCCTTAAAGACTCACTAAAAGAATGCAAATGACCAGGAATCAGCAAGGAGTATAAATCTTTCCATTCCCTATCATCCAGTCAAAGCTGAAGAAGCTTCTTGGATGAGAAATGAAATATCTTCAAAGAAAATCAAAAAGTCCAGTTGCCTCTTGAAAAAGCACCTTTGGGACAGCCATGACCTGGATGACTGAGAATCGCCATAGACATAGCACAGTATTGTTTGCATCAAAAGCAGCAGTCTACTGTCTCTCTCTCTCTCTCTCTCTCTCTCTCTCTCTCTCTCTCTCTCTCCTCTCAAGACAGAAAAGGGTATATTTATATTATTACCACTATCTCCATTAGCTCTCAGTTGTACCCACACAAATTTAATTGTAGCAAGCTAGACTGTAACCATTTTTAAGTACAGTTTCATGGATAAGTCACAATTGAGCATGTTTCCATCCACCCCAAGGCAAAGCCAAACAAAATACTATGTGGCTTTGTAAAGAGCACCAGGTCTGGGCTAAGAGATCCAGGGCTGCACCCAAGGAGATTAGTGCTTTGTCCTGAGACTGGAAAGACCTAGTTCAACGCATGTGTTAACCGAGCTAAAGTGCTGGGTTGAACCCAAAGGAGTGTAATCTAAGATCCTCATCACACATGGCCTCCACAGAACTTGGGCATAGCTTCCCATGTCTGCCAAAAGCTGTCACCAAATTGCCATTTTAAAGTGAGAGAAAGAGAAAATCATTAAAAGCTTAATTGAGGAAAAATTGTGTTTTCTGGAAGAGTGATTCTCAACCTTGACCCCTTGAAGATAGGTTGACTTCAAATCCCAGAATTCCCCAGCACCAATCCTACTGCAGCATTAGCCAGATTTGACTCCTCTCCCTGGTCCCCAAAAATGATGCAAGAGCTGGATGGGGAATTCTGGGAGCTGAAGTCCACCAATCTTAAAAGTTGCCAGTGTTGAGAAACACTGATCTGGAATCATAATTACAAGTAAATGGAACTGTAGCCACTTTTACTTTTGTCCTGTTCTCCCTCCCTCTTTTTTTGGAATGTGATATCTGGCACACCACATAAAAGCCAAATACAGTTTTCAATCCCTGAAAATTATAATTTGGCCAATGAAATGTTTCAGATATGGAATCCCATAATTCATGTACATACAGATTTCCAGTGCACTTACTATTTATTGGTCTTCCATGATCTCTCTCAAAAGAGTTCAGCCCATCACCACTTTCCTGCTTTCCCCATTTTTTCAGTACCAGGTTGAATATTGTCTTTGATGCCTTTGAGTATTATTTATTGGTTTTTTTAAAAAAATTGATAATTTACAAACATCTACTTGGGTTTATCCTTTGTTTTTAGAATGTTGCTGCTACTGTCCTTATTAGATATTAGATTAGATTAGACGTTCCATTATTTCAATTTGTTTAATTCTGTTTTTATAATAAATGAATCTTTAGCTGTTAAGGCCAAATGCAAGTTAGTTCAGATAAATCAGAGTAAAGCAATTAAATGAAACTGAAATAATACAATAAACTGAGGTCTTCCTTAAAGATGTATCTCTTCGCCAGTTTTTCCAGGACACTCTAGGTGATAAGAAATAAATTATATTAGTCAAGAAGCTTATATAATCTTAAACAGATCTACAGACTAATACATTTAATCTAATTTCATTCAATGAAATAATCTAAATGACCTCACTTCTAAATAGCTACAAAAATATATTTTCTACTATCAAGTTGCCATGATTTGAGTTCTCCAGGAAAGCTCCAGCTAAATTGGGATAGCCATTTTTGAGTAATCCTGTTTTAAAGTCATTCAAGCTTGTTTTGCTAGGTCTGGATGCCACCTAATTAAAGAAGAGTGAAATTTTCAATTGAGATAAGTGAAACAATTACTATCAACCTGCCTTCCGTGGAGGACCTGTATATTGCATGAGTCAAAAAGAGGACTGTGAAAATATTTACAGACCCCTCACATCCTGGACATAAACTGTTTCAACTCCTTCCCTCAAAACGACGCTATAGAGCACTGCACACCAGAACAACTAGACACAAGGACAGTTTTCCCCTGAACGCCATTCACTCTGCTAAACAAATAACTCCCTCAACACTGTCCAACTATTTACAAAGTCTGCACTAATATTACTATTAATCTTCTCATCGTGACTTCAAACCGTCACTGAACAAACTTGTAAATTAAGAACTACCTGTATTTATTTATTTATTTCTATCCCACCTTTAAAAATTTTTTAGAAATAATTCAAGGCTGTGAACAACACTTAATACACTTTCCGCTCCTTTTTTTTTCCCGCACAACAACCTTGTGAGGTGGGTTGAGCTGAGAGAAAGTTGACTGGCCCGAAGTCACCCAGACAGTTTCATGCCTAAGGTGGGACTAGAACTCACTGTCTCCTGATTCCTAGCCTGGTACCTTAATCACTATGCCCAACTGCTAATCCATGGTTTGTTGGGTAAGCTCATCCACAAATAATACTAAGCCAAAACTGGATCATTTAAAATCTCAGGAGTTGATAGGGCTGCATATGAAAGTTGGCTTCTGGGAGGGTTTTTTTTTTTTAAAGTGTTTCTATCCTGGCCCCAACACATTTTAAAAATCAGCAGGGCTCACCTGGTTATGAATAAACCAAGAATAATTACAATGAGCATCTACAGGAGGGGTATCAAACCGGTGGCCCATGGGACAGATGTGTCACATGCAGGCCACGCCCGCCCCAGCTCCGTGAATGGGAAAAGCATCATGAAACGGCAACATGACGTGGTGAGTTTGACACCTGTGGCCTAGAGCAGGGGTGTCTTGCCCCTGTTGGAATCTGATTCCGAGGGGGAGATTGAGCAGTTGACAAGGAGTGGGAGTGTGGCCCTGGTGGCTGTGGAGGAAACTGGGGAAGGGCACAGGCCGGCTGGGCATTCAGAGGAAGACCCAGCCCCAGCCCCCTCTTCATCCTAGGGCACGCAGGGAGGAACAGATAAGGGAGCAACATGAGTTAGGTGGGTTACGGGGGAGAAAAGGGTCCTGATTCCCTTAATTAGTGGCAGCTGGAAAAACAGGATTTAAAAAGAGTGTTTGCGCACAGCACCTTGCTGAAAGCAAAAAGTGCATTATCTTTGTTTGTCAAGTCTTATCTGGGTTCTGGCATCCTCCTAACTGTGTGTGTTTCATTATCTTTTGAAGTCTGCAGTTCCTTATCCTGCCCTGTCTCGTTAATTGCTGCAGCTGTGGTTTGTGTTGGTTTTTATTCATAATTTATATGTACTTTGGGTTCGGACTGAATTTCTTCCCTTTAAAAACTTGGGAGAGTTTTCTTTTCTCCAGCTGATGATAACTGGACATTGGGGGCCAAGTTGGAGGTATTAAAGGGGCTTTACCTATTTTTGTGACTTTGTTGCTTTTGTGTCACACTCCGGGTCATCACAAGGGGTGTCAAGCTCAAGGCCCAGGGGCCGGATCTGGCCCACGAGATGCTTAGATCTGGCCCAAAGGGCCACCCTGGAAACAGCAAAGGACTGGCCCACATGGCCTCTGCCAGTGAAAACAGAGCTCAAGAGGGCCATGGGCAGCCCTCCCAAGCTCCATTTTTGGTAACAGAGGGTTGCAAGAGGTTGTTGCAGCTGAAAATGCAGCTCACAAGGTCTGCAGAAGGCCCTCTCTAGCTCCATTTTTGCTGGCAGAGGGTTGCAGGAGGCCGTTGCAGCCAAAAATGGAGGTTGCAAGGGCCACAGGCAGCACTCCCAAGCTCCAATTTCACTGGCAGAGGGTTGCAGGAGGCTGTTGCAGCTGAAAACGGAGTGCGGGAGCCCGTTTTCGCTGGGAGAGCGCTCGTGCCATCACTGGCAACCCCCCTGACACAAGTGATATCGAGCTGGCCACGCCCACCCCCCGTCCTCCCACCCCCTGAGCTCAACCACAACCCTGATGTGTCCCTCAACGAAATGGAGTTTGACACCCCTGGTTTAGAGCAAATGGTCTCTGAGCCTTGAAAATGTTGCTGTACTACAATTCCCAGCACCTCTCATTGCCAGTCCTGCAGGGGTGTAAATAATGATTTCTCCAGCTGTGTTTTAAAGCTTTACCTGGGTCGCTCAGTGCTTCTGGTCTGGATTGCTTGCTAGCTGTGTGTGTTGGGGGGGGGGGGGGGGAAAAAAAAAGGAAAAGGGCAATCATTTGGCCGCTCTGATTTTGAATGAAATTACATTTTATATAAACATCCGGAGACTTACTGATTCTTCTGGTACTGACTCTTGTCTTCACTACTTCCAGCCTGGAGTGGGGTGGGGGTGGGGGAATCGGAAAATAGAACATAAGTAGGAAATAGGATTTTAGGTGATACCAACCGTCCTTGCAGTACCCTTCTAACATCTTACCGTGCTGTCTGGATCCTTCTGGATTTGATCTGAAGAATCTCGAGAGGGAGGGGGCTAGAGAGTGGAGAAAGAGCAGAAATGGACGGCCAATTCTGACTTTGAATAAAACCCGTCTATTTCCTACGGAGAGCCAGTTTGCTATAGTGGTTGAGACATCAGGCTAGAAACTGGGGGGGCTGTGAGTTCTAGTCCTGCTTTAGGCACACAGCCAGCTGGTGACCTTGGACCCAGGGCTGAGCTTCAAAATTTTTAGCAAAGGGTTCTCTACCCAGTTGCTGGATAGACAGGGGCGTGGTGGGCATGGCCTAGTCAGCCTGCTGTACCACGGATCGGCTGGGGCGTTTTTGCCCTCCCCTGGTTCCGGAGACTTTCCTCATGCCTCCAAGAGGGCAAAAATGGCCTCCCCAGGCTCCGGAGGCTCTCTGGAAGCTGGAAACAGGCCCATTTCCGGTCTTCCTGAACTTCCGGGAGGCCCGTTTTTCGCCCTCCCTGAGCCTCTGCACATGCCCTGCACTTACTGGGCCATGTGGGGACTCCTGGGAGGGGTGAGGTGGGGTGGGCGGGGCCAGCCAGGAGTGGGATTTGGGGGTTCTTCGAACTGCACAGAATCTTAGCTGGGGTTGTCCCGAACCCCTGCAGCCCACCCCTGGATGCAATGCACCAATGGTTCTCAACCTGTGGTCTGCAGATTCCTGGGGGGGGGGGGTCTGTGATGTCATCACAGGGTCCACAAAGGCTTGAAGAAATGTTATGATTTAAATCTTAAATCTTGGGGGCTCCATGGCCACAAAAGGTATTTAAAGGGGGTCCATGGTGGTGAAGAAAAGAACCCTTGCTTTAAGCAACACATTGGCCAAATCTGGGCCTAGAGACTCACCGCGCCAGAATCCGTAGACTCTTCAACCTAAAGAAGAACAGACAAAGAAGAAAATACAAATCAGGTGATGGTTCTGACCTGGAGGACAATCTAGATCAGGGGCTGTCCAGCCTTGGGGACTTAAAGACTTGTGGACTTCAATTCCCAGAATTCCCCTAGATTGCTAATGACCGGATGTCTGGAAAGAAATACGATCCTTCTATTCCCCTCACGCATCCTGTCAGTATCCTTCCAGTTCCCCCACCCCCACCATCCAATTATAACTGATGAAGCTTTTTGCATTGGAAAAGAAACGTCTTCCTCTTCTTTCTTGATTAAAAAGCAGTCTAGTCGCCTTTAGTTGTCTCAAAGCACCTTTGAGACAATTATGACCTGGGTTATTGAGAATATCCATAGACAATTGGAAGACGTCTGAAAGAAGCATGGGCAACTTGTAGCCTACACACTGGGGTGGGATTCAACCAGCGTAATAACCGGTTTGGTGAGTGTGCACAGCGTTTGCAAATCATCTTCTTCTGCAAGCCCTGTGTTTAATGCAGGGCGCGCGCAGCAATCAGCTGTGCCGTGTAAAGCAGCCGAGGTTGGAAAAGCAGGAAATAAAGGACGGCGTAGAGCCCAGGCAGGTGGGTGGGACAAACAGAAGAGCAGAAGATTGTCAGAAAACCTGTTTCCTCTCAGCTGATCTTCAGAGCTACCGGGTCAGCAGAACCAGGCCGAACCGGTACAATCCCTTCTCTGCTACCTGTGATTTTTAAATCCACCCACCTCCCAGTACCTTCAAAACAACATAGAGACCAGAGGTGGTATTCAGCAGGTTCTGACCAGTTCTGGAGAACCAGTAGCAGACATTTTGAGTAGTTTGGAGAACTGGCAAATACCGCCTCTGACTGGCCCCGCCCCCATCTATTCTCCGCCTACCGAGTCCCAACTGATTGGCTGGGTCTTCTTTGGTTGCCCTGCACAGGAGAACAGAGCTGGAAAGAAGGTTAGTGGGGTGGGGAGGGAATAGAGATTTCACAGTAACCTTCCCCCATGAGTGGGGAGGGAATGGAGATTTTACAGTATCCTTCCCTTGCCACGCCCACCAAGCCATGCCCACCAAGCCACGCCCACAGAACCGGTAGTGAAATAATTTGAATCCCACTTCTGATAGAGACTACAGTACAGAAATTTAATGACTCAGTTTTAAACATGAATATGGATGCATTATTTTAGGGATTACTTGTAAAATGGCAAAAATCACCCACAAAGCCCTGCTTCCATACAACCAAAAGGTGGCCCCCTTCCTCCTATTGTCAGAGGATGTAAAAGCAGTGGTGGCGCAGTGGTTAGAATGCAGCATTGCAGGCTAATTCTGCCGACTGCCAGAGGTTCAATCCTGACCGGCTCAAAGTTGACTCAGCCTTCCATCCTCCCGAGCTGGGTAAAATGAGAACACAGATTGCTGGGGGAAATTGGGTGACTCTGTAAACCACTTAGAGCAGGGGTGTCAAACTCAATTTCAGTGAAGGGTGCATCAGAGCTGTGATTGACCTCGGGCCAGCCAGATGTGGCTGACTGGGTGGGTGTGGCCAACTGAGAGGGGATGGTGAACTGGGTGGGCGTGGCCAGCTTGATGCTACTCCCCAGACTGCTGGCATGTTTCCTCTTTGCACTGGGTAAAACAGGGCCAAAGCTACGCTGGCCCAATCTTTCCGCTTCGCATTGAGTAGACCAGGATGGCCCCGCTTAGGAAAAAAAAATGAGTCCCCCTTTTTTTTAAAAAAACAAAACAAACTCTCCTCATTCCCCTCATACAATCTTACCAAGTTTGGCTGCAGTGAGGTATCTCGGTGAGTAATTCCTGCAGGCTAGCAGAGAGAAAGACAGGGGAAAATAGTCAGTAGGGAAACTAAGTTGTCGAAGAACACCTGTTGCACTCCAATTGTGTTATGGTATCCCTTTGTCAACACTTTTCACCACCTCAGGTGTAGAAGAGAGAATTGCGATTATGACCCAAAATTGGAGATGAGTCCTTGGTTCTCTCTGAGTTTGGTTGTTGCAAATGTTTCTATTACTTTTGCAGGTGTTTTATTACCAAACTAAATAGCATCATCAGTGCATCTGTTGTTATCTCCTCCTCTTTTGGAATATCGAGCTTAGTATTCCCGAGTATTCTGCCATCTTTTTTTGGCATTGTTTGGTTGTTTGCCAGCTTAGGTATCAACTAAAAACACCATTCAACAGTACATCCAATTTCAAATCCCTGCTTCAAACACACAGAAGAGGAGCCAAACAGCATTAAGAGATTTGCAGAGAATATATTGTAATATAAGATTGAAATATAAGATCCGTATAGTCTAAGCCCAGTAATAAATATACGTCTGTGAGAATGGGACCCTATGGAAAGCTGAGCACCAAAACATTGTTGCTTTCGAACTGTGACATTAGAGAAGACTCCCTTGGACTGCAAGGAGATCCAATCAGTCAATCCTGAAGGAAATCAACCATGACTGTTCTTTGGAAGGACAGATATGGAAGGTCAAGTAGTTTGGCCACCAAATGAGACGAGAGGACTCGCTGATGCTGAGAAAGATTGAAGGCGAAAAGGAGGAGGGGATGGCAGAGGATGAGATGGTTAAGATAGCATCACTGATGCCATGAACATGGATTTGAGCAGACTCCAGCAGAGAGTAAAGGACAAGGAGCCCTGGGGTGCCATATATGGTCCATGAGGTCAGGAAGAATTGGACACAACTTAGTGATTGAACAATAAAGATTGTATATGTGTGTGTGGATATGTACCTATTGATCAAGGCCGATCTAGAGATCGTGAAGGCAGACCCGGCATACGTGGTAGACAGAGAGGTGTGGAAGCAGTACTTAAGGACATTAGCGGACCTCGCCCGAGCGCGAGACAAACGCTGAAGAAAAAGAAGAAGAAGAAGAAGATGGACATGGACACGCATAGGTATATTGGTGTTATCTCCTTACCAAAGTTATCCGACGAGTCTGAAATCTTTCTGGTTGGTTTCCTGGAACCTACAAAACAAAACAAAAAGTATCAAACATCGCAGTAGAACCGTAGGTAGTCCTCAACATAAAAACACTCATTTAGCAACCATTCAAAGTTACAACAGCATTGACAAAAGTGACTTCCAACCAATCCTCACCCTTAGAAACATTGCAGAATCCCCATGGCCACATGATGAAAATTTGGCCACTTGAAATGTCCCAGGGTCATGTGAATGACATTTGCAACCTTCTCAGTTGGCTTCAGACAAACCAAGTCGATGGGAAGGCTGGATTCACCTGAACAACTACATGTCTCATGTAACAACTGCAGTTATTAGCTTAATTGCGCCAAAAAAGGTCATATGTACCTACTGATGGACATATACATGCATAGGTATATCGATGTTATCTCCTTACCAAAGCCAAAACCTGGCTCATTTAATGACCATGTTTCTTAGCAATAGAAATTCTGGTCCCAATTGTGGTCGTAAGTTGAGGACCACCTGCACAGCTGTGTTATAGTTTGTCTAGTGACCCACATGCTATACTTAGTTGTAATCTTGGGTACATTTTTAGTGTGTTAACGCTCTATATGAACCAATAAAAGAAATCAAGTTTCTAACTGAGTTAAATGTACTCTATAAACTCAGTTTTTAAGAGTAGAAATAAATGGGGGAGAAAAAGGGAAAAGGGTATACAAATCCAAGTGTCAGGATTCCAGCACTTAGCCCCATTTAAATCAGGAGTCTTGAGCCAAACTTCCAAAACTTCAAAAGGATTTATTGGGAATTAAAAGGTCTGGCATTGCCCGGCATTACTCTGAGACACATCATTCATTGTCACTCCTGACCCTGGTCCTCCCCCCCGGATGTATCATAATTCATATTCTCCAATGGGACACATCCATAGCCAAGAGTCATCAATCATGCTCTCCAGTTAGAATTTTGCATGGCAGAAACTTCAGTCACCTAGTTACTATCTTTGAAAACATTTATGGAATGCAGTTTCAGTTTCCAAGCTGCTGTACTGCTCCCCCCTCCCTTTCTGTTGGCAACTCTAAAAGACCATAGAAATATTTTATGAGTTGACACCAACTATGTATGGTTATGTCTTTATCGAGAAAGCATCCTCCATATCATAGAACTCCATATCCCATATCCTCCATACCACCATATCCATAGAACTAAGGGTGTTGGGAATTATCATCCAACACATCTAAGAAGGTACCAGCTTGGGATGGCAGATGCAAAGTAGAAGTTTTCTCCTTTGCTCCTTCTTATCTGTCCACTATATACAGTACAGTGGTACCTTGGTACTCAACTGCGTTGAAACTCATTAAATTTGGTCCCAGTACTCATTGTTTGTTTGGTACTCGACACACACACTAGAACTTGTCCATGGCAGCTGCCTTGTGACTCAATACATTATTCCTTATGGGAAAAATTTGTTTGGTGTTCATTGTTTTTGGTACTCATCACACCTCCTGGAACCAATTAACAATGAGTACCGAGGTACCACTGTACATGAGAATGCTTTCAATCCAGGTCTTTGACTTTTGGCATGTGACCGTAAAGCAGAGTGCATATCTGAAGAACCCAAGTTCCATATCAGTCCCTGAGAGCCTCTGTGATACACTTGGCTAGAAGCAAGAAGACCAAGATTTTAGTCAGGCTCAACCATGAAACTCATGACTGATTTAGATAGTCCCTCTTTCAATTCAATCTATTTCACAGGTTGTTATGGGAGAGGATAGGACTATATAAGCCACCTTGAGCTTCTTGGAGAAAGATCTGAAGGAGGAGGTGGAGGAGGAATCCCCCCTCACCCCAAAACCCCAAGTAGGGGGGCCCTTAGAGCCCCTCCAAAGGCCAAGAAAGGTCTTATCCTTTATTCATAGAAGACTTGGTGAACCAACGCTCAGTGTTCTCAAGCTGGAGTCAACCACACTCAACAAGTTGGAAAAGCCTTGTGTCATCATGAACATTTGAGGAACATCTATTTTGAGAGGCCATATTTCCTCTGGGTCTAAGCAGGGGCGGGATTCAAAAAACTCAGCAACCGGTTTGCTGCCCAGTTGCTGGGTGGGCGTGGCCATGGTGGGCGTGGCCTACCGGAACTTCTGGTTTGGCTGTTTTTCACCTTCCCAAGGGTCCAGAGGCTTCCCTTGGGCCTCTGGGAGGGTGAAAATGGCCTCCCCCGGGCTCTGGAGGCCCTCCGGAAGCTGGAACAGGCCCATTTCACAACTTCCAGTACTTCCGGCAGGCCCTCTTTTCCAACTTCCAGAGCCTCCGTGTGGACCCAGCGCTTACCTGCATCGAAAATGGGCTGTGTGGAGACTCCTGGGAGGGGAGGGGAAGGTGGGGTGGGCGGGGCCAGCTGGTCGATTCAAATACCAGATCGGCGAACCAGCTGCCAATTCAACATCCGGTTCTCCCAAACCGATCTGAACTGGTAGAATCCCACCCCCTGGATCTAAGTGTGGTACATCTCTCCCACAATGACTAAAAGGGAGAGCCACCCCATGAAACTCTTACCAATGTCTTCAGTTGTTTGTCGAATCTTGCTGGCTAGGGAAGGGAGAAACCGTGAAAATGAAGTTGACATGTGGCAAGGAAGAATGGTACAAATGAGACTTTCCTGGAAGGGCTGGCTGAATCCAGGGCTTAGATACTATTTCCTATTTTACCTCTTCCCTAAGTTTACATGCACATTTTCTAAAGCCTTCCTTCCTTCCTTCCTTCCATCCATCCATCTATCCGTCCATCCATCCTTTTGTTTTAAAAAGGACATGTCTCACATTTGTATTTTGTGACTCCAAGTGACGTAACAAAATCTAAAATTCAGTAAGAAAAGCCAGCAGCCACCAACCAAACATCCATTTATTATGGGAGAAGGAATGGCAAAACCTGGGGGGAGGGATGGAAAAAGAGGACTTAGGCCTAGAATCCCTACATAGCCACAAGCAAACTAAGCCCAACCCCGCCCCCTTACTTAACTCTAACCAGATGCTGACTGTTAGTTGAGAAGATTCTTGAAATCAGGTTCATTGAACCTTCATTCTGGCCTGCTCTTTTGTGCCCGACATTTATCCATTGTCTGCTTTTGGATGTAGAAAAATGGACAGTTTCTAATCTGCTGTGTCACCACGTTTCACTGGGCTTTTTGCAGACCAATAGGAGAAAGGCAGAAATGGCCCCAAAGTCTGTCCAATATCCTTACCAAAGTTTGTCGGCGGCCTATTGTTGCAGATTCATCCAGCTGCAAGGCAGAGAAACCAGAGAACACAGCACGTCAGGACTTAATATGAATGCATCATTCTCACCTCTTTGAGTTCTAATGCTCCCCATGTACTGACTGGTGAACAGGATCTGGATGAGACCTTATGCTCACTGGGCCTGTACAGAGTTGGTTGATTCACACTCCTGCTTTATCTATCTATCTATCTATCTATCTATCTATCTATCTATCTATCTAT